GTTGTACTAACTCGTCACTCCCTGCCTGTCACACTCATTATGATTTCCCCATAGACCCTGTTCATTTTGATTTTGATGGCATTGTACGCATTATTGAGAGCCTAAAATTATCTTCTAGTTGTGGTCCCGATGACATTAATACAAAAGTGCTCAAAAACACCTCGGTTTATTTTGCTATAATATTGTCCAAAATATATAATCAGTCTCTTCAGTCTGGGGAGATTCCAGATGACTGGAAAATAGGTAAAGTGATTCCACTCCATAAATCTGGTGACAAACATTCTGCTTTGAACTATCGCCCCATTTCGTTAACGAGTATTTCTTGTAAAATATTTGAACACGTCATCGCTTCCCACTTGGCAAAATTTCTTGAATCATTCTCATTTTTTTCACCTGAGCAACATGGCTTTAGAAAATTATTTTCGTGTGAAACGCAGTTGGTAGCCTTCACAAACGACCTTCATTCTGTACTTGATAATGGTTCCGCGGCTGATTGCATATTCATAGACTTTTGTAAGGCATTTGATAAAGTTCCCCACAGCCTGCTTCTTCACAAACTAAGCCAACTGAATATCGACCCTAACGTTCTTAAGTGGATTAAATGTTTTCTAACAGATCGCTCTCAATTTGTTCATGTTAATGGTTTTAACTCTTCAACTCTACCTGTCACTTCAGGCGTCCCACAAGGCTCAGTTTTAGGTCCACTGCTTTTTCTTATATATATTAATGATCTGCCTAGCAATCTGACTTCTTCTGTGAAACTTTTTGCCGATGACTGTGTTATTTACCGCGAAATAAAAAATGCTACTGACGTTTCTTTGCTTCAACAGGACCTTGACGCTATCGATAATTGGTGCTCGACTTGGCATATGACACTTAATATTAATAAATGTAAAGTAATGCGGTTCTCACACCAACGTAAATTAAACCCTTCCTCTTACAGTATAAGCAGCTCCCCATTGCTACCAGTGTCGTCCTATAAATACCTCGGGGTTATTTTAACAGCAGACTTGAGTTGGAATATGCATGTCTCCTCTATTATCTTAAATGCTAACCGGACGCTTGGTTTTATTCGGCGACATTTTTCTCTAGCCCCCGCTTCTGTTAAACTGTTATTGTACAAGTCACTTGTTCGATCTAAACTCGAATACGCGTCTTCAGTATGGGACCCATGCAATAATTCACTAATAAATGCACTTGAAGCAACCCAAAACAGAGCATCGCGTTTCATCCTTCACGATTACGGCCGTTTATCAAGCGTAACGCAAATGAAAGCAACTCTATCTCTTGAACCACTCACACTGCGCAGGAAGATATCGCGCATGTGCCTTTTCTTTAAAATCTATAAATTGAACGCCACCCTTAAAACTGCTCTTATTTTACCCCCTGCTCATGTTTCATTGCACATAGATCATTCTTGCAAAGTTGGTATCCCGAAATGTCGCACTGTAGCATATTCAAATTCGTTTATTCCTAGAACTACATCAGAGTGGAATCGCCTGCCACCATCCCTAGTGCTTACTAACAATATTGACCAGTTTAGGAAAAAAGTGTCTGAGTACTTCACTTCTGTGTAGCTTGAACTTTTTTTTTTTTTCACAGTGTTTAGTTACCTTATAATGTGTCATATGCATGCAGTTGTCAATGTTAGTTTTGTTATCTTTTTATGCTAGAGGCAATACCTGTGTAGATTTGTGTTAAACTTTTGTATACTTCTACGCACCGCTGGATACTTGTTTCTTCAGTGCTTTTGTATATTTGCTCATATGTGTGCAATGTTTGTACAATTCGAACACCTTTCAACATCCTGATCCTGTACCACTCCCCTCAACAATGCCCTCCGGGCCATGAGGGTACCTGAAATAAATAAATAAATAAATAAATAAATAAATGAATATAATAGAAATGCAGTTCAACTTATGAACATGTAAGCAAAATACATATTGCTGCCCTGTGTGCTGGCAACGGGGTTGACTACACTGATTTGCAGATTTTATTGTGGTTTGTATGTACCAACCCATGCCATCTGCGGGCGCGAAGAATTTCCGGTGGAATAGTACCACGTGGAATCTACCACTGAGAGCACGAAAGTCAAGGGGTTAACACTACAATTGCATATTACATGCCAAAACTACAATATGATTATGAGGCATCCCAATTGACAAACTATAGACAAGCCCAGCCTCTAGCCAAGCCAGTTCAGGATGACATTGATCTAACAAAGTGTGTTGTCACCTCGTGGTGCAATTTTAACATCATGCTCCAATGCCTGTTACCTGGGACTATATTTTCGGCTGACTGCTCTCAGGGAAGCTCCCATTTTCAGGAGATTTAGTTAACAGAGTAAAAGGCCCATAAGCATTCCGTGGTCTATAGGCCACAGCAGTCTCTCACTATGCCACAAGTGCTTGTACAGTAGGCCAGAAATTTTGTTGTTCATAGTTGCGGCGCACTCAGCGCTAATCTTACATAAATAAAGGTATCACTGTTTGTGATCTCCTGAAAATGCTGCCCATGAAGGTGTCACCTGCAAGTGTTTACATAATGGCCTCCAGGACAAGGAAGCTACGTTTCACTAAGCGATAAGATTGAGATTGTTGAAATGTGAGGTGAAAAGCAGGCAGACAGAGTGAAACTGTCGAAGCAGACCGTGAACTAAGTTGTTGACAACATGAGTATCAACAACTGAGCAAGTGTCATCGAAATTAATCTGAAGCTTCTCAGGCTTCATAAGGTAGCATACCCAGAATTCGGTCCCCACTTTTGATGCTGCTGCAAAATGCCCTCCATTACAACTTGTGAGTGAAGGGACTTCTGTTGAAGAAGTGAACCAAACAACTAACCATGGTCTTCCGACATGACAGTAATTCTTCAGCGAGGAATGGCTGATGCATTTTGCGAGGCATGGAGCACCATTCATATGAGTGTGTATTGAACGCGACAGCATCAGTGCAGATGCCATCCCCGTGTGAAAAACAATTGAGCTGCCAGCATAATCAATTGCTTCTTGGATTTGTCGCTGTGATCGTGACCTGTGGGAGCTGCGACCAGGTCTGCCTGAGTGTGTCCGCCATAGTACATATTTCATAATCTTTTTCTGCTAGACTTCTGAGAAGTACTCATGCATCTTTATTTTCTTATTTTTTTTTAATTTGTGCTTGCGTTAGCTTTTATGTTTCAATATTTGGCGGCAATCAAGCATTGGTCGATACACTTGACATTGATTAAGTGATCTTTGGATGATCCGTCAGTGATCTACAGCTTTTAATAATGCTTGTACACAGCCACTCATAAATACAGTTGTGTACCGTCAGCTGCGTCAATGATTTAGGATGTTATTTACTTCAGATAAAAGGAACTTTCCTCGTCATATTATCGTGATCTGTTGAAACGAGAATAGCCTATAGGATGAGAGATGTTTGTTTTACACGGATGACGAAGGATGATCGTGGGAAGCTTATCTAAGGAGCCACTCAAGAGTTCAGCCCAACATTGTTCTCTTGTTTCGCTTGTGGCCGAATGTTGCGTCAAAATTTTTTGCTGTTGCAGACACTGTCTACTGGTGAAGTGAGTCAGAGCTCGTATCACTTGAAACTGGGGCAAGGTACGCATCAGTCTTGGCTAGACCAGTGACAGTAGACGTCAGGCGATATATCACATAAGCGACCTTCATAAGGCGTGACACTATAAGGGGCCGTTGCAGCAGGCCAAAAAATTTTGGCACTAGCTATGCTTGCGATGTGAGGCCCACAGCCGCAGCATGTCCACTTAGGAGGGCAAGAAGTGCTGATTTCTTTTGCTGCAACGAGCCTTCGAGCCGCCACGCCATACAAAAGCAGAAAAAAAATGCAGTACGTTATGCAATTTTCGTGCAATGGTGTCACGCCTAGTGATGGCTGTTAATTCTCGGCAAGTGGCAAAATTACGTCCTCCATATTGCGGTATTGCTGCATCCCTCTTAGAGGAGATCGAGAGTTCTGACTAGTGCTCTTGCTCAGTTCGGTATTGCAGGCATAGGTCATCAAAAACAACAGGTTCTTAGTTCTTGCACATAGGTAACATGCATGGAGAAGACATTATAAAAAGAAAAATTGGCATTGATCTATTTATAGCAGAAAGTTGGAATTCTCGGAAAGGAAGGCTTCTTAGTTGACTGAAAAATTCTCTGGGTCCTGGGTTTGAATCCTGGACCAGTGCCTTTCTGCAGTAGTCACTGTACTAATTGAGCCAACCATGATGCTCTTATTTGGCAGCACAAGGGCAAATTAACTCCAAGCACATGAGGAATGAATTTGGCAGATCAGCAGAATCCTACAAGATGAAGGAGTGGTTACAAAGTATGTTATACAGCATAAGCTTTTGCATTTAGTAGTCATGGTATAGTAGGACTGCTGCTCAAACACAAATTTGATGTTTTCAGTACAATTCATGAGATGTTTGCACTCCTGCGTCTTCACTGCACTGCCCGGGTTGCGAGTCATTTCCACAATTTCGATGCATGTACAGGCAGGTCCACTGTTAAAGGGAATATCTGCATGAGCAGCATGTTTAGATTTGGCTATATTACGAAAGCATAGTGGCTAAGATATGCATAAGACTGCTAGTGGTTCAAAAGTTCTGACTCCTCATGACTGACGTGTATGAAGATTGTTTCCTTGTGAACTTACTTTCAGAGGGCCAGGAATATTGATGGTGTGCATTTGAGTGTTCCCTTTAACAGTAGATTGTGCTGTACATTGTGAAGGGTGAATTTTCTGGCTAGTTAGTTCAACATATTGTTGGAAAAACAGCCCAAAAATCAGGACAGCAAAGGCACACATACAACCACACGTAGCCACTGCACAACTGTGTTGAATCCACCATAAGCAACTTGTCTTTTTGCCAACTCACCTGCTTACACAAGTAAACATCATTAATCAGAAAGGCGAGGTCAAGCAATTCATGGGCATGCGACACTATTTCCAGCGTTTTATAGTGGCTCTTTTTTTTTTTTTTTGCAGTTTGAGGATGCCTTTGATGACCTGTCCCACTTTGATGGCGAGGACTTTCTCAGTAGCCTGGGTGTGGGTCGTGGCGGCCACTCCACGGTTCCCAGCTCCCTGGTGGAATTTGAGGAAGTCTGGCCCGCGGGCAGTACCAAGGCAGGCACTGTGTCTTCCTCGTGTCCCCCTGACCTTGCCCTGGTCAAGGAGGAAGAGCTGCTTGAGAATGATCTGCGCGCTCTTGCCAAGGACCGGCAGAAGAAGGACAACCACAACATGAGTGCGTTCTTTGTAACATTGCTGCATCCTTGTTGCTAGCTAAAAGGGACAACCCAAGCGCCTTGGTTAATATGGTAGCTCGAACCATAAAGTGTTTTAGCAGCGAGGTACAGTAAACTCTCGTTAAAAAAAACAAGAAACGTTGAGGGATCAAGAAAAGTGTGTTCTCTTTAAGAGGAGCTTTGTTTACTCAGCTGGGGAACCGAATCCAAGTAGGAAATCAATCATATTAGTGGCAGTTCTGTTTACACAGCAGTTCCATTCAAAATATTTTTGTTTACTGGTAGTCTAATGTGCAGATCAATGCCCATCGCGAAAGGAAGCCAATTTTGATTTTATGAAAGCTATAAAATTTGCTTCGCAGTGCTTGACAGCACGAAACATGGGTGATAGCAAAGGCTGTGTTTGTTTTGTTGCTATATTTGATTTACATGTACCCAGCAGCTGATGGAAACAAAAGCTCATCTTTTTTTCACTCCTTCCGAATTGACAATCCTTGAATGTCTGTTCTAATACACACTTTACACAGTGCTGAATTAGTGAAGGTTCTTTTCATTTTCATCTGCCTTTTGATCGTATTGTGTGGCGTTGCACTTCTTGGGAGCTTCACAGCTAATGAGATGTGATTATGACAGCCTTCGGAGTTGACAAAGAGCTAATTCTCTGAAAAAACAATATTTGATGACTAAAAAGGTCTTGCTAAAAAAAAAAAAAGGAGAATGCAGTAGCTGCTTGGTAAACTGAACCTGCATGGACCAAGAAAACATCTTTCATTTAACTGTAGTTTAATTCATTGAGGGATGAAGAGGGATGCAGTATTGAGGTACGAAACCAATCATGTTTGAAGGTGCTGTTCCATTAAAGCAGTGATTCCGTTTGAAAGACCTCCGTTTACTGAGAGCCTACTGTACATTGTTGCTCGTGATCATGTCCGTTTAGATGCCATCTTTTCCTTGTCACGGGGCAGGATTGTATTTTTTTTCTTGGAGAACAGACTGAATAGTCACCGCTCATGTTAGTCATCATTGCATAACATTCTTGCAAGTGCGACAGCTATCACTGCAAAGACTTGACAGTACTTCTAAGCGGCAATTAGTATCGGTGTTTTGAGGTTGCCAAGGCCTGCTAAGATCTGTTGTAGCCAGAATATATGCAAGATGGAAATGCATGAAGCTTGGCTGTATTGAAACAGTGCACAGCAGATTAGGTGCTCTGTGAATAGCCATGCTTGGCTTCAATAATCCTGTGTTGCGTGCTCTCTGTGCAGTTGAAAGGCGGAGGCGATTCAACATAAACGATCGCATTAAGGAACTTGGCACGCTGCTTCCAAGGACAAATGACAGGTAAGCGTGTGAGCTCATTCAGCCATGATTTGTTACTGAATAGCGCCTGAAATCTAACGGGTACTGCAACTTCTTTCTTGATTTCAGAATCTGTGGTCATCTGAGGCCATGTGTTCTCCACAGTGTTTCTATTCATATTTGGTTTACTTCTGTCTCAGCTCAATCAATGTGATCTCGGCAGTGTGCTTTTGACATATTAAACATTGCAGCCTTAGCTTCATTGTAGTTAAATTTGAGTGGTACTTAGCCAAATAATTCATTCTTGTTAGCACCTGATTAGTTTTTCAAATAAAGTTCATGCGCCATGAACTTGTGTAATCTGCATTTATCAGGTACAGTCGAGCCCACATATAACGGCGCCACTTAAAAGGAACTTTCGCTTAAAATGAACAATATCCGTGTCACCGTAAAAATATACATTGGTTCAATGGCACAAAATCGCACTTACAACAAACGTCTCCGAGCGCGGCTGATCGGTTATAGCAAACGGAGTCAGCGGTCTGCCGACTTCCCGGAAAACCGATTTCTACCACCGATCAGGCATCAGCGAGGTGCCCATACATTCTTATTGTTAAACGCCGGCCATGCCTCCGCACCCCTCTAGTTGCCGCTCTCTTTGACCGCTTTTTGTTACGCGCCTCTCCGTCATTTGTCTCTCCCCCCCTCCTCCCCCCTGGCTACTCTGAGCACCCCGCATCGCCAGACGATGCCCGTATTTTCACACTGCCACCGATCTTTTGAAGACTGGTCCTCCATCTACCCTGTTTCTGATCGCTGGTACTGTCGTTGGTGTCGCCGGCCTGGAGTGACCGGACCATTTGCCAACATCGTCGGCCACTGACTGTCTGCGTCTAGTGCACGCGCGTACGCTACCCCACCGGCTCTGATAATTTGCGATTCGTTTCGTGTTTAGGACTTGTTCTCGCTCACTTCGCACTCGTCCCAGCATGCCTTCCGCGCGCGTGCGGAAGCGCGAAAACGGCTGTTAATTTGTGCGGAACGAATCGCACGTGCGGAAGCACAAAAATGGCTGTTAATTTGCTCAGAACGAATCGCGAAATAGTGAAGTTCGTGAGAGCACGCAAACCCGCCGGCGCAACAAAACGATTTTTTGACCACGGCCGCCGATTCTTCGAAACCGCCGCGCGCACCGATTCCGGCGGCCATGCACTCTTTCCAGATTTTTCTACGCATGAGTTACACGGACATTTCAAGCAAGCTATCCACCTTTCTTTTCCTCCGGGAAGCTACCCAACCTGCCTTCTTCCCGTGTGTTTTGGTTTTCAATGTCGACTTCCCGCCGCATCCTCCCCTCTCTTTATCGCATCTTCTTGCCCTTCTCTCGCAAGTCTCCTCTCTTGATCACAACCCCTTCGTCTGTCTCCACCGCTCCGCGATGCCCGCCACGCTGGCTCGAATTAGTTTCGTTTTCTGACTGGAAACGGGCCCAGAGCTGTTCCACGCGTTCTGGCATGTGTGTCGTGGGTGCGCGTCTTGCTTGCTCTTGGTGGGCGTGTGTGGTCATGGTGGCCGACGGGAGGACTAGCACGCTTTTTTTTTTCCCTGCCGCTCAACAAAACGTCGAAAGTGTGACCCCTTGGCTTGAGCGTAATCCGCGCATTAGGTGTCGCGTTGCGGAGCGCTTGCTCATAGCTGTTGACCACCTGGCAGCCAACTTGCCACTTCGGGCGTCCCGGTACTCAGCTGTGGAGATGGTGAATATTTTGTGGGCGGTGGTGACGGCTACATGCGCGCTGAACTGTTTTCGCGAGGCTGACTTCATCGACGTCGGGCGCGATGCCGAGCCTGAAGCTTCCGAACAGGACCACTGCGGCGGAGATTTGTGGCAGCGCGTCGTCGACTCCGACCTGGGAGAGCGGGTGGAGCATTTGTTGAGATGGTTTAATTATGGCCGATGATGATCCCGACACTGCGGAATTGTGCACAGATTGGGGCATTGTGAATGAAGTACGTGGGGCGAGCGATTTGGAGGAATCAGACTGCGAGAATGACGAAACTTTGGAGCCAGTGCCTCGTGCAGCTTGTGCCACGGGCCTCGGCGAACGAGCACCCTGACCGCCCTTATCGCTTCTGCTATTCGAAACACGTGCACCACGGACTTTTTGGGGCCAAAAATGTTTGCGTTTTCACTCGCAACTTTTTTTTAAGAGCTGTGTTTCATTTACTACGAACTTTGGGATACAGCAAACGGATGCCGCGTCACGCTCAGGTTCTATATAAGCGGGCTCAACTGTATTCAGTATTGCCATCATTGCATGTGATCTCGTTAAGGTATGAAGAGAAACATCCCAGAATTATTTCCTGGTGAATGCTAACATTGATCATTTTTTATTTGAGCATTTGAACATTATCATTGTGTTGTTATTATTGCAATCTGAGTCCTTTCATGAATGTGCAAAGTTGAAATGTACTGTGCCTTTAATAGCACGAAATTGCACCTATTTCGGCAAAACGTAGTGGTTCGCACGGTCAAAGGCTTTGAAGATGTATTAAAAGGCAATAAATCTTTCCTAGAACAGCATCTTTTTATCATAAAAACATTTCTTTAATTGGAGTTTTCGGTCTTCACTTTAGTCACCCGCATGTCATGCAATGTCACAAAGCCATGGTCATTTCCCAAAACTAGGGTTGTGCGAATATACGAAATTTCCAATAATTTTCTCCCCCGCCGTGGTGATCTAGTGGCTAAGGTACTCTGTTGCCGACCCGCAGGTCGCAGGATTGAATGCCGGCTGTGGCGGCTGCATTTTCGATGGAGGCCAAAATGCTGTAGGCCCGTGTGCTCAGATTTGGGTAAAGAACTCCAGGTGGTAAAAATTTCTGGAGCCCTCCACTACGTCATCTCTCATAATCATATGTTGGTTTTAGGACATTAAACCCCACTTATCAATCGACCAATCAATCAATTGAATAATTTTCTAATAGTATTTGCTACTCGATTCACCCCAGATTATTACTATCACGCTTCTGTATTGCGGCGAAGCTTCCTTTCAGGCTCTATTGCGGTCGCAAATGTATTGACTAAGAATACACAAGTTCCAATCTAAAGATGATAGATGTGGCAGAAATGGGGGCTCAACTAATGCTATTCTGGACCTGAAATTTGGGCAGGAAGTCTGAAAAATCGGATGTGAAAGATTTTTAGCATCTGGAATTTTGGATGTTTTAATATATTGACATCTATGAAGTACCTTTAGAACTTCTGACTCTAAAGGAGCACACACTCGTCCCCCACAAAAGTTGCACTTCCGCAGAAGCTGAAAGAACAAGAGACACTGAGGAAAGAGCATCTTTGCCTTTCATGTGTTTACTATTGTCAGCAACACTTTGGTTGCACCAAAGCATGTGCATAAGGACAATTCAGCCTCTGCATTGCTTCATTCTATAAAACACCACTCAGGCAGGGCTGCATCAACCTACCCAAAAGAAACACTTTCATGTTGCTGTCTCAAAAGAATGTGCTTAGAAATTCTATCCAACTCTTTTACTGCAGTTTCACTTTTAAGTATTGGAAAAATATGCTAGAAATGTCCGAGAAGTATTTTTTAATTATTAAGTTCGATTCGCACTTACAGTTCAATGTTCTAAATCAATTTGCACCTAAAATGTTGCTTTTGCACAGTGCTAGCTTAAACTAAAGGTGCTGGCCCTCGACACAAGCCTCGCGAGGTCGTGTGGGAAATTTGACAGCTGTTTTATAGCATTCTGATAAGATTGCATGCACAGCGCCTGTAGTTGAGTTTATTTGCTAATTTACCGGAGTAGCAGTGATAACACTGGAATGTACGATCCCACGTGTATATGTGCCAAGGGGCCTCACCCCCTAATCAGATTACTAGCGACTGTGCCGACTGCTATCTTCGTGCTGCGTGCTGTGTCGCTTCTCCTGCAAGTGTTTCTATTGCTGGGTGCAAGTTTACCCAGTAAATAACTTAGTCTTCACCAGTGTGGTGTTCATTATTTCACAGTCAAAATCATTTAACAATATACAGCATAGACCGCGTGTAACGTAAGTCACCAAAGTCATAAATAACCGAACTCTAACGTTGCACGTGTGCAAAGAATGACCAACAGAAAGCTGTGCCATTCTGACAATCGAGGCACGAGACTGAGACATATGTTTGCATCCGCTTAAATTCGAAAAATTGGGGGACCCTCACGCTCCACCTTTTACAGTTCAACGCGATAGCGATATCCTGTCGCCAGTGTTAAAGCACTTAGTCCATGAAATCTTTTCGAGCTTGCTATGCACCCACTATGTTAAAAGCTCGTTCACCCGGATCTCACGGGACAGGGAAAAATGTCCGAGTTAACCAAATTTCGGTTTATTGAATGAACCATCAAAATAAAAGAAAAATGTACTCTGCACAGAGAAACCTTTATTTCACGAAAAACTGCGTCAACTTAGTCTGTCTCATCATCGGAATTAGCACTAGAACGATCTTCTTCAACCCCATGTGGTGGTGGTGGTGGTGTGCACACTCGCTGTCGCGAGAAGTAATGCAGAAGTCAACGAAAACAGCGATGGCTTCGGCGGCCTCCTGCACGGTGCGATGTCACGCCGGCTCATCTTCATTGTCAATATCGAAACGGTAATTCTGATCCGCTTCAAGCTCTTCTGAGAAAGGTTTAGAATAACGTTCGCAAGTGTTGCGGGCGTTGCTTTAGTTGCGGATGTCATATGAGTTTTAAAATAGCGTTTCCTCTCTCCCTTGGGAAATGTCTAGGGACTTTCGCCCAGCCAGCAAACCTAAATGCACGGAAGCTACATACAGCACTTCGCGGGCCTCGCAGGTCGCGATTGCCGCACATTATTTCGGATTTTCTGCGGGCGGTTCGCGAACACGAACGGCGGCTCGCATTATGACGCATGCGCAGTGGCAGTGATCGCACCGCAAAGGCTCGTGGTGCGCTATTCATCAGTCAGCGAACCAGCATTGGCCACACCATCATCAACGCGCACAAACACAGCCCGAGAA